CCTTCACCATGCCAAAGAATGTGCTTGCTCACGCACATTTGCAATGCCTGCCAAAATAACTAAGGAAATCATACATTCATCCTTTAAAGTATCAAGGAACATTGCCATACATTCCACTTGTACAGTGCCACTTTATTCCCTGTAGCTTCATGCCCCTCTAGTCCATGCCTGCCTCAGTCTCTCTCTCTCTCTCTCTCTTTCTCTCTCTGGGACTCCCTGGAGGGGAAGTGAAAAAGGGCCACATCTTCCCCGGGCTATACTCCCTGCCCTGGCATGGTCAATGTCTCCTCTGCAGCCCCCACTCTTTCCTCTCTGGCAGGCCACATCTTTCCAATTGACAGGACTGGCTTCATCCCCCACCCTCTCCATGCATGCTTGCCGTGTGTGCTCCAAAATAGTGCATGCTGTCGGCACGGGGGGCCAGGCTGGGCCCCCAGCCTCCTTGGCCCTTACCGTGTGTGCTGCTGTAGGTGGGAGAGCTGGCGGAACGCCTTCTGGCAGTAACGGCACGTGTAGGGTTTGACCCCCGAATGGATGCGGAGGTGCTGGGCCAGGTAGGACGTGTTGGCGAAGCTCTTGGAGCAGTGAGGGCACTTGTGTGGCTTGACAACCGCCGTGTGGAGCTTGGAGTGGATCCTGCCGAAGAGGAGGAGCAGGGGCAGCAGTTGGACATGACCGCCAGCAAGCTAGCAATGACAACATGAGGAATGGTACCATGCTGTCTCTCGCTACAGTGGAGGAAAACCAAGTGGGATACTTGCCTTGAACTCCATAAAAGGGAGTTCAAGACCAGGAGGCCAGAGAGAGGAGTCGGGAGTTGTGGGAGTATGTATAGGAGAAATCCTGGGCTGGGGAAGCAAGGGGACGGAGCTGCTCAGCAAGTGTTTTTGTGATGTGAAGTGGGGAGGCCGTCAGTCCTGCACCTACAGATTCAGTCTCCCAGACATTGTAGGAACTCCTGTCTCTGACGACCCAATAGCTTCTCCATTTTCTCACAGACTGTTCTGTGGCAAAGGAGCAGATTGCATACATTAAGAGGCCCCTCTGCTCTTTGCACAAAGTAAGCATGGACCAACTGGCAGGAAATGGCTGAGATGCTCTGAGCAGTCTCCCCATGGGCACTTGCCTCATGCTACGATGTTGGCAGCATGCATCATGGATGTCTCCCCCAGTCTCATCGGACCTTACCGTGTGTGCTGTTGTAGATGTGAGAGTTGGCGGAAGGCTTTCTGGCAGTAGCTGCAGGTGTAGGGCTTAGCCCCTGAATGGATGCGTATATGTTGGGCCAGGTAGGAGCTGTTCGCAAAACTCTTGGAGCAGTGAGGGCACTTGTGTGGCTTTGCCTCGGTGTGGGACTTGGAGTGGATCTGCATTTCTGACTTGGAGTAAAAGGTCAGGGAACACATCCGGCACCTGAGACCAGGTTGAGGGGAAAAGAGACAAAGTCACTCAAGGGCAAGCCAATATCTATGTTCCTAGGATCATCCGCAACTGACCAGCAAGATCCTATCATGTGAAAGAAGAGCTGCCCATGTCCAGTCCTGACCAATTCTGTTAAGAGGTAAAGGAATAAAACTGATTTGGATTTGGCTCTTTCAGGAAGGCCTTTCCTTAGTTTAGACTGCCTTGGAATATGAACAGTATGGTAGGCTCAGCACATCTGGAGAATATCAAGCAGGGATTAGTTGATCTTCCTTTAAACTAAAGAAACTACAAGTACCAGGGAAGACATAGCCAGTTAAAAGTATTTTTGTGCTAAATTCTTAATCACTATGGAATCTGAAATTTTAAGATTCTTTCTCAATTTGATGTTGAGAAAGATGTTTTGAACTATAATTTGTTAATCCCCAGCCAGCACACTAACCTGCAGAAAGTGTAAGTGCTCCAACACTGGAGGCTTTTAAGAAGAGACGGGATAATCATTTGTCTGGAATGATATTTAGGGACTCTTGCTTGAGCAGGAGGTTGGACTAGAAGAACTCCGAGGTCCCTTCCAACTCTGATATTTTGTTATTCTGACTGAATTCATATCATATTGATATTAAATTACTAGATGAAAAATGATTATATTGATTTTAATTAGGCTTTTAAACCTTCCTATTATGTTCAATTCTTTTCAGTCATTATAATATATACAGACCAGAAAAAGAGCCCAAATGGTAAGTTGGTTAAAACTCCTGAAACTGTGCACAGGATCACAGAATGATAAATAAATATAAATCATAAAGACTTTGAAGGAAGAGTCCTCTACCATCCTGGACAAACGGTTGTCCAATCTTTTCTTGAAAACCTCCAGCAATGGAACACCAACAACTCCGGGAGGCAAGCTGTTCCATTGGTTAATTGTTCTCTGTGTCAGGAAATTTCTGTTTCAGGTAGGATGTCTCTTTAACAAGCTTCTACTCATTGCTTCTTGTCCTACCCTCAGGTCCTAATAAACATATAATAAATAATAAAAATATGATCCTTATATTTTTAACCAAAACACCATGAAAAATGTGTAACTTGTGGATAAGCCATCCTTCAAAATTTTCTGTATATTTTAATTTTCATAGCTTATCTGATGGTGCCACATTTTCATGGTATTTTTAAAAATCTAAGGAATGCCTTATCTATCAGTATATATTTATTTGTTTATTGTGTTTATTGATATGTGGATACTTTATTATGGATAGTCATAAGCTCATTTGCAGATAAATTGAACACAATTTGGTCTGTGTGTGGGTAATTTTGAACCAAAAATCCATGATTTATGTGCAAATATATATATATATGGTAATAGTAACAGAATATTATATAGACGAATACAATGCAACAACTTAAAACTTTCTGATAAACCTCAGCTTCTGCAGCAGTGGAACTATCTTTCACAAATGCATCCTAATCTTCCTTCTAACATATATAAAATAAGAACAAACATTCCTAACAAAGCAAAAATCCTCAACGAAGAGGTACAATTTTACCTGAATACCCTGATTTCTAAACTAAAGATTGGCATAGTAGAATGTCTCCACTAACCAGTTGTGCTCTTGTTAATCTCATCTTGCTATGGTGCTCAAGCATCTAGTAAAAATATTCTGAACAAAAAACGTCAATGTCATAATTACACAAATTAAAAAGACCCAATTGCAGGGAAATGTCTTGATTCCTTTACTAAAAATGGTCAGAGTAATGATAAATGCAATCCCTTGCATTCCATAAGCCAAGGAAGGGTGGAGAGGGGGAATCCTCTCACATGTCCAAGAAACAGGTGCCTGAAATCTAGGAGAGACTCCTGTGTCAACTTTAGTACAGATTTATGTTGAGATAAGTAGTTACCTGCTTAGAGCTTTAAAGATAGTAACTATCTTGAATTTAGCGGAAAACACAATTGGCAACCAGAACAGAGATTTCAACCCAGGCAAAGACATATCATCATTTATCCAGTGGGTGCTACCTTTTGCTCTGCCTGAAGCACTACATAAAACATGCTGCATGTTTACGAGTATAATCACGATGTAACAAAGGTATGGGTAATCACTGGCAGATCTGATTGGATTAAGAACAGACATATCTGGCATACTTTTGGTTATAAAAACAAACTAGCTGTCATTTCTACTTCCTCAAAGATGGCAGGGAGCCAAGGAACCCTCCAGCCATTCTTGGCAGTCATTCTTTCAGGAGTAAATTTTACTTTACATAGGCTAAATATCAGCCTAGACTTACTGAAGGTTCATCAGCATATTTGAAGGAACCTCATTCCAAAGTTATGGACAGCCTCCCATATATAAATACTTATATAAACTATACTTATATAAATTAATAAGTAGCAAAAATTAATATAATAGAACCAGGGGTGGGTTACAGTAGGCAGTACTGCTGGTTAGCTCGTATGTGTGCTGTGTGCATGCTTGATGTGCGCTGTGCGTGCATGTGCAGTGCAATTAAAATTGTTCTGTGCATGCGCAGAACTGAAAAACAAGATGGCGGTGCCATAGGTGCCACCCGGAGAACCAGTTTGGGAGCCAGGCCACCAAACCACTACCAGTTCAACTGAAGCGGTCCAAACTGGTAGGAACCCACCACTGAATAGAACCCTGTCTAACACTATAGACCAAGAAGTCCAACTCAAAGCCTATTAGCATACAAATCCATAAAAGACAGGGCTAAAAATGTGGCAACCCCCTTTTTTTGGTGATATCAGGGACTTTTTTTTAAAGTAAAAATGGCTGCCTAAACCTTGGAGATAAAAACATCAAATTCACTCTTTAAATACTCAAAACCCATCCCACAAATTACCTACACCAAGCCTCACTGTGGCTGATTTGTCTACATACAGTAGGCTTTAGGTCTTATTTTCAAGATGTTTTGTCCACGTTTTAGCTTTACATAAGCTAAAAGGAATCTAATATAACAGGGACCACTGATTTCAAGTGATTTTACCATGTCTAATATGAAAACAAGAGCCCAGGTTTAACCAGTTGAGTTGTTAAATTTAATTTATTTAAAAAATAATGGTCTCAATAGAAGGAAATTGACACTAATAACCCCAGAGATCCTAGACATGTATGGTTGGACCCAAAAATTGTCTCTTTATCTTCTCCATCGAATGCAAAGCTTGTATAGAAAACAGCAATATACTAGAAAATATGAGAGGTGGCGAAAAGGAGCTGACAGCATTATAACTAAGACATGTGGAATTGTTTCCTGTGTGGACCATTTCAAGAGTTTCAATGAATTTCCAGTCAATGACTTAACCTAAATTGAGTCATTTTTTGGGTTCATTGATTATTACTCCTGAAAACTCTATAGGAATTTTGTGATCATATTGAACGTTAGCTTTGATAGCTAGTCTTGCACATCATACTGCAATCTAATTAAGTAAAGCCACTGGCTCCTTGTTGTTTACACTCTCTTTGGATATGATGCACCCTTCTGAATGGCATAGAAGTGTTGCAGCCAATGAAGGGAGAAAAAAACAAAACACACTTAACAACTATATTGGTTATTTAAACTGCCAGCATATTCTGCCAGCAGAAGATATAGTTAAAGAAAAACGTGAGGGGACTTTGTTGTTGTTTTAATTGGGAAGGACTTTACTTATTATAAAAATATTCTGGAAAAGAACTATTTTACTCACATTTTACTCTAGAGAAAATTTATTCCTGTCCCTTACAGTTTCCATAGAGCAGTTGAACAAAAATACTATTATGGTACACATGAAAACTGACAAAGCACTTACATACAGTTTTTAAAATACATAGCCTTATTGGGAGTCTAGTCATCCTATTCCCCTGTAGGTTTGTAACACTTCATATTTGTCTTTTTGGGGGTACTGCATGCCTACATTTTCTCATAAATGCCTTTCTTTGACCAATAACCATTTTCTTGGGTTTCTCCTTTGCAGATTATGAGTCTCTAATGATACTTCTGATCTGCTCTTCCACACAGGGTATGGTACTTACAAGACATTTCTCTCCTTTTTATCCATATTTTGGGATGCCATTTAATATTATATTCCTTAAATATTTTTTCACAGAATTACATTAACATATAAATTTGAAACAACAAGGCTGTAACAAGACCCAAACGTATGAGTTAAAGAACATTCACATTTCTTACCCTGCGCCTCTATAAAAAAAACACCAATGTCTATCCCTTTTAAAAAAGACTTTAAGGAGTGAAAAATACAAGAAGTAATATTTTCTGATGAACTAGTTTCATTTTTTAAATATATATGATGTATATGTCACATTTTTAAAGCCTGGACTCATTGATTTTTAAAAACTGAATATTCCAATTCCAAATATAGAGGAAATGCTAACTTTTATTTTACTTTTAATGGATTGTAAAACTGAATTAGTTGTTTCAAGCACAGTATTTTTTTAAAGTGCAATAATTGCAGTCACCTCAGATAGCTAATGCATCTGGGCTATACTGTTTATTTAATATATGTTTCAGTTGTATGTACAAGCAGTCCTTGACTTACGACCACAATTGGGACCGGAACCTCCATTGTTAAGTGAGGTGTTATTAAGGGAGTTGTGCTCAATTTTATGACCTGTTTTGCCATGTTTGTGAAACAAATCACTGCAGACATTAAGTGAATCATGCGGTCATTAAGCAACTCTAGTTTCCCCCTTGATTTTGTTTGTTGGAAGTTGGCTGGGAGGTTGCAAATTGTAACTACAGGACACTGCAACCATTTAGCTATGTAAAGTATTATTCCCCTTTTAGCCCAAATATTCCAATAGAACTTCATTCCTGCTATTTTCAGATCTGAGTTATACCACAATCAGCTTTTCATATTATTCAGAATCAAACTGCTTGCCTGTTATTAAGCAAATATGACTAGCGGCTTTCAAACTAAGAAAGACAACTCTTGGTTTAATATGTCTAGATCTTAACATCTGCCATGATTTGAATAGCATTCCATATTTGCTTTCTCAATGACCCCCGAGAAGAAAATAATCCTAATATCTTTCATTCCTGAAAAATACAGACATTAAGCCAAATGATATTGTTAAAACTGTGGAAGAATTCTGTAATTTCTTGATGGCCTCTCATCCAATTATTAGCCAAATCCATCCCTGCTTAGTTCTTACAACATCAGCTTATATTCATTAGATGCTGCCATCTGACATGAGATAAAATTCATATACACGGTATTTCCAGTATTCTGCTAGATGGTGAAAAAAATATACACCAACTTATAATTGTGCAAATCAAGAGATGAATTTTCCATATGATCAACAACACTAATTCTATACTCAAAGTGCATTTCTCATGAATAAGGATCGTACAAGTACAAATGTTGCTTTAAAAGCAATTGTAAGAGAATCAGGGCAAGGCAAATTAATATATTTAGAAACACCCAGTATCACAAGTGCAAGATTCCCACACTGACAAATAAATAAGCTTCCTCCAAAAAGACATTAATTTCAAATAAAGCCTATTGTGCTACTTGCCAAAAATAGGGTTTTTGGTTTGTGGGACCAATCCATCAGCAATAACCATAGTCCAAAGCTCAGTCCTCAAATTTTATCTTGGAGATATATTCTTCAGAGGAATATTATTGCATAAGCAATCCAACTATGCTATTACATTAAAATAGTTCATCAATCCCAAAACAAGGATAGCATGATCATCCAGTGTACTACAGTTCTGTCAGGCAGAATTAGACATAATATGACCATAGCTTGATAATTTTAATTAGCTCCTCAAGAGTTTAATGTATTCACTAGCAATACCAGAATAAGACATAAGTACTTTTTTCAGTACTTTAGGTGGAAAAGAGTGGATAAATCATGAAATAAACATTGACTGCTATATAGTCAAATAGCAGTCAAAGTTTACCACTGCCAGAAAGACTAAAACTGTAACTCACATAATGGAGACATGAGGGACAGACTAAATTCACACAGGTAGTTCCGGCATGCAGTTGCATGTACCAACCATTACATTAATTTAGAGAGCAACTTACAACTGGGTCAACTGGGTAAAAGCCAGCTAGTGAAAAGTTATCGTTCAGTATAACCTGATAGGTTCTATTGCATACTTCCCTCTTACCTAAATCATAAGTAAACCAGAAGCGCAATGAACTAGAATGCCACATCATGGAAGAAGACAGTTCCCCTGTAATTCAAATGAAATACTACTTGTTCATATGCACTCTTGTGAAATCTGCCCAGAGCGAGTTGGGTAGGCTATAAAACTGTCAAATAAATAAAATGCAGGGTTTCTAATCCCCATAATCTCACCGGTATGTCTTGCCATCTTTGTGCTGGTCTTCTTCATCTTCATTGGGTAACACAAAAGGATCACTCATGTCCGGCAGGCCCGTTTCCTGCAGCCGCTTCTTTTTTCTTCCCCTGGGAGCTTTAGGGGTGATACTGCCAGCAGCACTCACTGCCCCACCCTCTGCAAGGATGCCCTTCTTAGAAAGGTCAGGTATTACTTGGAGAGCTGCCTGGGAACCAGGAGGAAGAGCTGAGACAATCATGGGTGCAGAAATGGGAAAAGTTTGCACAGAAGAGGCTGTGGTCACCAGGGATCCAGAGGGAGAAGTTATTACCAGACCAGGTCCTGTATGAGAGAAAACAGAAGGATTGTCTCAAACCGTACATGTCCTAATCCACCTGTTAGCATGTCAAAGGAAGAAAATCATACTAATATAATTATGTATAACTGCTACTAGACTAGGCCCGCGGGGCTCAAATTTAAATGTTCATGCACAAGCTTCATCCTAAAACTCTAGGCCTACCTGAGTTGCTGCAATAATAAAAAAAGGTATAAATTTTAATAAAACCACACACCCCATACTACTTTCTAGACTAGATCAGCTATTATCTAGATCAGACCTGCAAACTGGTGGCCCATGGGCCGGATATGGCCTGCACAAGCCATGCCCACCCCGTCTCCACAAAGTAAAAAACATCCCAACATGTCATGATACGGCCTGCGATGCAATCGGGTTTGACACCCCTGATCTAGATGGGAATATATTTTATGATACAGTAATATTTAGGTCACACTACACATTTAATCAGAATGCTCCCTTTCCAATATCTAAGCAAAACTTAACTACATTCTTTTATCAAGAACAATCTAAAACGTTGAGTTAGCAACTGGACCATCCAAATTACCTCACCTGTTGTCATGAGCCCAGTAGACTGCACTGGTACCACTGTGATGTTCTGTGTTACTGACGTCTGGCTGGTTGGGGTAAGGTGTTCTGGCTTGGTGTCAGAATCCATAGAAATGTTGGTGGGAAGGGCCACAGAAGTGGGGACAGTCAGTAAAGTAGGATAGTGAGGGGGAGCCAGACCACAGCTCTTTTCTGAGGGCAACAACTGCTCCTTCATTTTGTTAATGAACATACTGTTGTCAATCTAAAGAGAAAATGGAAGAGTTTTAGAATAATCACGAGCCAAACTTCATAAAAAGCAATTTACATTTCAGATATTCCTTACCTGTCCCGAGACTGTGGGCACTCCTGGCCAGAAATACGGGGAGGAGTTGAAGTGAGATTCTTCCATTCTAGCTGGAAGACATAAAGATACAAAGCTAGTTGTCAAACTATGTAATGTCTATATGGTACCGAGAATCATCTTGATTCCTCCACAATACCTGTTCTGATCCTTTCTCAGGTCATTGTAAACATTTACTAGCATGTTCTGATGTTCCAAACATTAAAATAGCTCTCAAATGTTCTAAGCATCATCAAAAGGAAATCTTGCTTCATATAGTTACAATCTTCATGAAAAGACATGAAAGACATTTCTCAGTATCTTTCAAAAATATTGACAAGCAAAACATAGCAGCAAGATGTTTGGAATCACTAAAAATGATTGACCCCCCTTCCCATTTTCACACAAAGAATTGGCAAAGGACCCTGCATCTCAATGTTGTAAACCTACTAATGATGACTAAATCTGGGTATTTGCAAAAACTGGTTTTGTTTAGTTCTCTGGCATACAATGAGGGACACAAATTATTTGCTGAAAACTGGGGTGAAATCCAACACTGTGCATTCCCAGGTGATTTTCTAATCCTTCAGAAAACATTTTACCAATTATGTAGGAGAGCTGGAATTATCTTTATAATTCTGTTGAGGAAGTTGCACTACTGGATTTCATACTCAATCAGACACAAATAACCATATCCTAATTCTGGATACTCTCTACTGAACAAAGTGTTAAAAACACTATCTCCAGTTGTTAGAATTGTATAGAATTCCATAGCTTCTAAAATTATGATGAGCACATAGTCCCTATTCTTTCACTTTGAAAAATCTCAGAATGCAATATTTTTAATCCATCAAATTAAAAGAAACTCTAAGTGCTACATGTGGTTAAATAGTCTTTGACCTAAAAACTTGATAGCAGAAAAACAAGATCCATGGCTTGAAAACTCTTGATCATATAGCTTTTACAAAGTTTATATAGCATGACACAGACATACCAAGAACATGCCACTTAAATTACTTATTCAAATTTCAGTAGCCTCCAACTTCTGATAGAGCTCACAATGGATTTAGTTTCTGTTGTGCTGAAGGATAACTAAGGAGCAATTAAAAAACAAATATTCTTGGTTTCATTGAAATGGCCAAAATTTAATAAACATGTTTCAGGGTGAACTTTGAAATATTCACGGCATGTATGTATGTATGTTATCTAACACTTATATTAGCAGATCACAGGTAGTTAGCAACCCATTCCCTACACTCTCAAGCACCCCAAAGGAAAACTCCGCTGTTCTTTAAAAGCAGTTTTCAGCCTAAAAACGCTAAAGTTGCAGATGAAACATACCAAAAGCCTGCTATAATTATGCAAAAATGAACAATCCTGGAATTCTACAATTGCAGTGCTAGACTATCTCTTTCCTGGAAATCTGCATTCCATCTCCATCTTTCTCCCAATCTCATCTTGTGGGCCTGCACCTGTTTTGGAAAAAACTAGACTTCAAAGAGAAATGTCAAACAAGATTATTGAAGCATCCCAAGCGCAGGCTTACAAGTCTACCACATTCCAAAATCGAGTATAATTAAATGTGTGCGTACATAAAGGGGAAGAAACTAAAGAAACCACGTATAGAAAACACAGCTGAGGAAATTAGATCTATTCTGAAATACGTTGTGTTAGATCAAGCCATGAGTTTAACAAAGCCCAACCCTCTCGCTCCAGGGAAGTCCAGGAGCAATTTAGGGAGCCAGCAAGCTTCCCTTTTTCTCTGGCAACAACATTCAGAGGGATGCAGGCTTTGAACCCCAGGGATTTATATACATTAAAATGGTCAACAGCCAATGATAGGCTTTGTCTGTAAAGGGTGCACGTTACGAAGACCAACTTTCCTCTAGTCGGTCCCAAGTCGGGATCAATTTCCCTCCCGCTTTAGAGGCGCCAGAAATCCAGGCACTCCGCTCCTCCCCCCCAGGACCCCTCGCCCCCATTCGCACCCCCGGCTCCCTTCGCGCCCTTTCGCTGGCACTGACCCCGCCCGCGGCCCCTCGCTCTCCGACCCGCCCGGGCTGAAGCGGGGAACAGTGGTCGAGATGACGCAGAGTCCAGAGGCGCTCGGGCCACCAGTTGAGACGGGGCAGCCCCGGAACCTCCACCGCCGCCACCCGCCGCCGCCGCCGCCGTTCCCGCGGAGAGCCAGGCGGACAGCAGACAGCCCTTGTCTTCCGCTTCCGGATGATTTAACCCCGGAAGTCCTCCTTGTCGAGGAAAGCCACTCATATTCTCCCGCCCGCTGCCCATTCATCTGCCCCTCCCGGCCCCCGGAGACACAGCCCCCCAGCTCTGGCCCAAGTGGCGGCAACGGCAACCTCCTCCTCACCGGAAAAGGGAGCAAAAAATCACTTCCGAGTTGAGGAGGCGGCGTTTGAGCTAAAACTTCCGGGGCATGGTCCGCGGAGGGCTGAATCGCGACTTGCCGGAAGTGACGTGATTCCTGGCCGCATTTGAGGAAGAGTGGGCTTCTCCCTTTCCTGCATTGGATGTTCAGTCTGAATATAAAATCGGATCGACTTATGTAGGGGAGGTCCACCTGCTAAAGATCCGTGCAGCTTCGTCAAGGCCGTAGGAGAGAGAAGGCCGACATAGACACTGAAAAGTCAACCGGCGTTGGCGGAGCTCCTTCCAATCCGAAGTCTCGTTTAGAGAGTGATCGTGTATATATTTCAGTTAGCACCTGAAATGCAAACACCTGAGCCAAGGCACAAGGTTGATCCCAAAGTCCTCGAAGCAGCATTGAAGATGTGTCTGCTAAAAACCTTAGTGCCAGGAAGAAATCAACCTTCCTCTCCACCTAACAAAGGCAAGGGGAGAAAAAGGAAGGCCATTGTGGAGTCGGTCGACCCACATTTCCCCCTCCAAAACTTTACGAACTACCCAGGACTCTCAGAAGGAGACCCTAGACATGTCTGACCCAGAGCAAAACCAAAAGACAGGCAAGTTTGTCTTCAGACAGGCACCAAAGGAAATATAGAACTGCCTGCAGGGTTGGCAGATGGATGTATCTGAAGATCATCCCCTCAGCATAGACCCAAGAGCTTTCTTGCAGGGTGTGCGCTCCCAGATCTGCCAGACGCTCATAGAAAAAATTTGGGCTTGGAGAGGAATCAAATTCCAGCTGGTGCTAAAGGTTGATCTCTGGAAAGGCACTTGCACAGAGGCTATGCTTCCTCTCATCTTGCAGGACAAAGAGATCCACAGGGCAGTAGAGAAGGCATTCACCACTATTCAGGAGGCTCTTGAGAATTGGAGCCAGAGAGGCTCCGCTTGGATGGTTGAAAGAGTGCAAACACTGGCTGAATATTGTTTAATGTTTAATAAATTTATAGGCCGCCTAATCCCGAAGGACTTGCCCGGTATCGATCCTTGCGGGTATCGATCCTTGCTCCTACATCTCACAACTGTCTGTGGTGAGAAACACAAAAGCGGTCATAAGTGTGAAAAGCAAAGATGATCACAGTCTTAGGTGGGGACTCTGCTTAGCCATGTTCCCTGCAAAAGTCCACGTGGATAGACCCTCCAAGTACCCCACACAGGACGGCCTTGATTTCAAAGAGATCCCAGCCCCCACACCCATCTCTAAAATTCAGAGGCTAGAAAAACGGAACAATCTAGCCATCAATGTCTTTGGCTTGGATAAGGGTGTCATCGTCCACCATCTCAGCCAGCAGCCAGGAGACATAGCCAGGATCAACCTCTTGTTGACCGAGGAGGCTGGTAAGTTCTACTATGCCTGGGTGAAAGATCTCAACAGATTTCTGCATCATCAAACTAAGCATCGAGAGCGCAAACATTTCTGTGAGCGCTGCCTCCACTGCTACACCAGGGAAGCCCTGCTGGAAGCCCACAAGCCTAATTGCCGTGGGATTGAACAGACGGCGGTGATAGAGGTGATGCCAGAAGAAGGTAAAAACAAGCTTTTCTTCCAGAACCATCACAAGCAGCTCCCATTCCCATATATCATATACGCTGACACTGAGGCCCTCACCACAAAGATCAAGGGGTCCAAGCCCAACACTACAAAGAGTAACATTCAGAAAACAGAACAGCAGGAGGCCTGTGGCTATGGTTATATAGTTGTGCGCTCTGATGGTCAGACAGAGCGACCAGTTATAATCAGAGGGCCAAATGCAGCAAAGGAGTTTCTAAACCGTCTCCTAGAAGAAGTAAATAAAATCAAGTTGGAGCTGGCCAAACCCCAGCCCATACATATGACCCGAGACAACCAGAAAGCCCACAAGACAGCCACTATCTGCCACATGTGTTAGAAGCCACTTGATGGAAAGATTGTCCTTGATCATTGCCACGTCACAGGACAATACCGAGGTGCCGCCCACAATGACTGTAACCTTAAGCTGAGGCAGCACTCCAAAAACCCAGTCACTCCAGTTGTCTTCCACAACCTGAGGGTCTATGACTCCCACCTCCTGATGCAGGCTATCTTAAAGGTAGCGCTTCCGATCACCTGCATTCCGAACAACACAGAGAAATACATCTCCTTCTCTCTAGGGCTACTCCGGTTCCTTGACAGTGCCCAATTTCTGCTGGCCTCTCTTGACAAATGTGTTTCAGCTAACCAGTCTGAAGGCTTTCAGATTATGGCTCAGTGGGAGCCCAGCAGAGAAAGACGAGAACTTCTGCTACGTAAGGGCGTCTACCTGTATGAATACATGGACTCTTGGGAACGGTTCACTGAGTCACAGCTCCCACCAAAGGAAGCATTCTTCAGCAAACTCACAGATGAACACGTATCGGAGGCCAACTACATCCATGCCCAAAAGGTCTGGGATGCCTTTGGGTGCCAAACACTAGGGGACTACCATGACATCTACTTCCGTACAGACGTACTTCTCCTAGCAGACATCTTTGAGACCTTCCGGAAGACTTGCATGCAGCAATATGGTCTAGACCAGTGGTCCCCAACCTTTTTATCGCCGCGGACCAGTCAGACGAGCCTCCCTCAGCCTTCCGGACCAGGGGGTGGGAAGGCGGCCATCCTGGGCGCGCGTTCCGCAGGGGGGGGGGGGGGCCTTCCTTCATGCCAAGGCCGACAGCC